CTAAGGTTATAAGGTTATGCTAAGGTTATAACTAAGGTAATGCTTAAAGACTGTAAGACCATGCACTGGTAGAACTTTTGACAATAGTGAAAAGTTGAAAATCACTTCAGTGTTCAATAATAGTTAGCAATCAAATGAAATGTCTGCATAGCAATAAAAATGATGCTATGGAAACAGAGTATTTGATAGGGAACGCCATTTGTGATGTAGTAAGTGGAAAATGCTGGTTTAAAACATCATGTAAAAAAAGCGTGGGAGTCTGACCATATCTCTGTGAAAACTACTTTTTGTCTCTATAAGCAGAGAATAGGGTTTGATGCACCCAAGTGATGATGACTGCATCTCGGGAGTGGAATTGAGGGTGTTTTTTATTGTATTACCCTGTACTTAACTGTATTTTGTGATTTTCCTAAAATAAACCTGTATTATTATTTTTTTTTTTGAAGATTTTATTTATTTGACAGAGAGAGACACAGCAAGAGAGGGAACACAAGCGGGGGAGTGGGAGAGGGATAAGCAGGCTTCCCGCTGAGCAGGGAGCCCGATGCAGGGCTCAATCCCAGAACCCTGGGATGATGACCTGAGCCAATCAGATGCTTAAAGACTGAGCCACCCAGGTGCCCCCTGTATTATTTTTAAGTAAGAAAAACACAATCAAAGCTTCTTTTGATCTAAAAAATGTTGGGGTTGACTTTTTAATGATGTGAGGAAATTTTTAATATATTAATGATATAGTCCTATACATGGTAAATCTACATTTGTAACTCATTCATGCTTTCTACAATCTGTTTTAATATGTCCATAATTATACTCATTCATATTCATTATGTAGAAATAACTTCATATATTCTTAAGCCAAAAGAGGTTCTCAGGTTCCAGGAATCCGGGGAGCCTGCTGGCTCAATCGGAAGAGCATGCAACTCTTGATCTAAGGGTCGTGAGTTCAAGCCCCACATTTCATGTAGAGATTACTTAAAAATAAAATCTTAAAAAAAAAAGTAAAATAAAAAGATTCCAGGAATCCACTGAAGTGGTATGAAGAATTTAACAGCATGAAAGGATAAATGGTTTTGTTGGGGTAAGAAATGGCCCATTACTTTCATGAAATTCCCACAGGGATACAGGACCCAAAAGAAGATCAACCAATAAATTAAAGTATGATCAGTATGGGGTTGAAGAATACAGTGGTCAAAAGCACAGACTCTGAACCAGACTTTCTGAATCAAGTGCATACTCCATCACTTAATCTTCCATGGACTTTGGATAAGTTACTTAAACTCTGTGTGCAAGTTTCTATGTAAAATGGGATAACAGTAACCATCACAAGGAATGCTATGATATTTAAATGAAATCAAGATACTAAAAAGTGCTTATAATAGTGAGTGTCCTATACACAGTAAGTCCAGAATACAAATGATAACTATTACCATCTTATTACCATCTCAGTTGGGAGAGTGGAGCCACTCTTATTTTCTATCTTATGCTCTTCTGTAGATTTTTCAAAATTTCTACAACAAAGATGCATTATTTCTTAAATGATATAAAAAGGTAATCTGATAAGTGATAAAGGAAATAGAGTTGACCCTTGAACAACATGGGGGTTAGAGGCACTGACGCCCCTGCCCTGTGCAACCAAAAATCTGCGTAAGTTTTGACTCCTCAAAAACTTAACTACTAACAAACAGCCTACTGTTAACTAGAGGCCTTACTGATAACATAAATAGTCCATTAATGTATTTTGTATGTTATAGGTACTTTATACTATATTCTTACAGTAAAATAAGCTGGACAAAAGAAAGTGTTACTAAGAAAATCATAAGGAGGGGGTCCTGGGTGGCTCAATCAGTTGAGCGTCTGACTCTTGATTTCGGCTCAGGTCATGATCTCAGGGTTGTGGGATAGAGCCCTGAGTCCGGCTCTGTGCTCAGCAGGGAGTCTGCTTGAGATTCTTTCCCTCTCTCCCTCCCTCTCCTTCTGCCATTCCCCCTGCTGCCATGCACGAGTGCTCTATCTCTCTAATAAATAAATAAATCTTAAAAAAAAAAAAAAAAAAGGAAAATACCTTTACAGTACTGTATTGTATCTATTGAAAAAATCCACATATAGGTGGACCCAGGCAGTTCAAACCCATGTTGTTCAAGGGTCAACAGTATAGTGAATGGTAATTATGGAACCCAGGTGGTAGGTATACGAGTGTTCACTATACAATTCATTCAACTTGTCTCTGTGTTTGAAAATTTTCACAATAACATATAGTAAAAACAAAGAGAAAATTATCTAAGCTAAAGACAATACATGATTCTATAAAGAAATCTGGATCAGGAAAAACACCTCAAGAAGGAATATTAGGACAATTGGCAAAATCTGACATTCTTCTACAATGTCCTTGTTCTTAGGAGACAGATAATGAATCATGTGTCTATTAAATGTTAATAAGTAGTAAATTTGGTGAAAAGTATACAGATATTCATTATATTCCTCCTTCAACTTTCTCATAATTAAAAACTTTTTGTAAAATTTTAAAAGGTTGCCCAAAAAACTGCCTAAAAACTTTCCATAACTTCTGTCACTCTTTGGGGCTTATCCACAATCACAATTTAAAAAAATATATACAGTTATAAAAGATTTCTTCTTTAGGAACACTATGACAAAGTTGAGAAGGGGGGAAAAATACTCTACAAATTGGCATTTGGTGCTGGCTTGGGGCTTGGGATGGAACTAGCTACAAAGAAATATGTTTAAGGCTCCAGGTTGGGGGTAGGGGAGAAGACTGGTCATCCAAGACAAAAACCAAACCCACATAGTAAAGTGTTTCTGCGAAACAGAGACACTAATTTCCCAGTCTGAGGTAGTAAGGGAAACTAGCAAAGGGTTCCTCCTCTTAGTTACAGAAGGAAATAGTCTGAGGCAGCAAGACTGAACCAATAACAGAGTAGTATGTTTGAGAGAAGCAGTCTCTAAGGGCTTTAACAAGTATAGTAAGATGAGGAAATGTGCTTCGTATAAAAGGAGTTGCTTTTTATTTAAACATAAAATCCTGGGGGGGCGCCTGGGTGGCTCAGTTGGTTGAGCGTCTGCCTTCGGCTTGGCTCATGATCCCGGGGTCCTGGGATCGGCCCCGAGTCGGGCTCTCTGCTCAGTGAGGGGCCTGCTTCTCCCTCTCCCTCTGCCTGAGGCTCCCTCTGCTTGTGCTCTCTCTCTCTGTCAGATAAATAAATAAAATCTTTAAAAAAAAATATTGGTACCTCAGGCAAGAATAAAACAATCCATCTAAAACCTACAAAGCAAAAGGCTTTCTAAAGCCTTGAGATCTATTCTATCATCCACCTGAAGTGCCAATAGTCACATGATAAACTTCCCCAAGGATCCGAGGATTTAAAAGATCAAGGGTGTTCAGCTCCAGGCCACTGAGCAACCCCATCCAACTGCATCTGCTATGCTTCTATCATCTCACAAAGTGTCCCCTTATTCAGTGGCACTGTCAGGACAACTGGACTGATCTACATCCTGTGCTGATGCAATGAGAAGTACAGGGCATCAGCAATGAGATAAGTCTTACTAAAAAGGTCCAACCTAAATCCAATCAAGTCTTTAGAGAGGGCTTCTCAACCTCAGCAACTGGTATCTTGGGCTAAGTAATTTTGTGGTTCGGGCTGTCCTATGCACACTGTAGGATGCATAGCAGCATCCCTGGCCTCTGTGCAGTAGATATCAGTTGTACAACCTCCCCATCCTACCTCCCCCACACCATTTTGACAATTAAAAAAAAAAAAAAATCCCTAGACAGTGCCAAATGTCCTTGGTAAGTAGCAGCAAAATTGCCCCAGTTGGAGCCTCTGGTTTACAGAAAATAAATAAACACCACCATAAGGATGCAATAAGACAAATCCAGAAGGGGTCTTCTACAGCCTTCCTACTCAAAATGGGATACAAAGACCAACCTATGCAAGCAAAGGAGCTAGCTAGACAAGCAGAATCTCAGGCCCACCCCAGGACTCCTGAGCTTACTGGAATCAGCATGATCCCCAGGGGTGATTCATATGCACATAAAAGTTGGAGAAGCACAGTACAACCCAGATTCTTCAACACATCAAATGTTTAGGGGAAAAAAGGAAGGGTGAAACTGCTTTAGATTTAGACTTAACAAGCAAATCAAACATAAGTTATTTCAGAGACAATTAATAAAATCTGAATATATACTAGATATTGGATATTATAGAATTAACTCTGTTCAATGTGACCATGATATTGTGGTTATATGTGAAAATGCCCTTATTTTTTAGATATACAGAAGAACAAAAACGTCACAATATCTATAATTTACTCTAAAATAAAATCTAGCCAAAAAAACACAAATGGAGCAAAACAAAGAAACAAACAAAACAGATAAAGCAAATATGGCATAATAATAGCTGTTAAATCTAGGTGTTGGGTATGTGAATTCATTATATTATTTATTCTTCTTTTCTGGGAGCTTGAAATTTTTCACAGTATTAAAGTTTGGAAAGTCTAACTGCAATGTGGTATCCTAAGATGGATCCTGGAACATAAAATAGAAAAACTGAGGAAATCTGAAAACCATCTGAAATTTAGTTAATAGTAATATACCAGGGCTAATCTTGCAGTTTTGACAAATGTACCTTGGTTATGAAATGTTAACAGGGGAAACTGGGTAAAGGGTATTTGGGAACTTTCTCTCTGGACTATCTTTGCAACTTCTCTGTAAACCCAGAATTATTCCAAAATGAAAAGGTTAACTTTTTTTTAAGTTAGGAAAGAAAGAAACAAACAAACAAAAACGGCATTGACGGTGCCTGGGTGGCTCAGTTGGTTAAGCATCTGCCTTTGGCTAGGGTCATGATCCTGGGATCCTGGGATCAAGCCCCACATCAGGCTCCCTTTCCCTCTGCCCCCCGCCCCCGCTCATGCTCTCTATCTCAAATAAATAAATAAAATCTTAAAAAAAAAAAAAAAAGGCATAGCAAAGCACTCAAACATACTTATAAAAGTCTTCATAGTACCGTCCCTTGTGATCCTGTCGAATTGAGGCTCGGTTTATTTCAGGAAATTCATCTGAAAAAGAGAAACAACATACATAGATCAGAATGAGAAGAGAAATTCAGTTTCTATGCTCCCTCTTCTGGGTTGAAAATTTGCATCACCAAAATAAATGAACAAATAAATAAATGAATAAAATTATATATCAAGTTGGCTTTAAGATGAATCACAGCCCGCAGAATTCTTGCATCCACTAATGGACTGTACGATTTTCCATTTTACCCTGGGCTCGTAACAGAAAAAGTAGGAAAGATGAGCATTGCAAAGGGAAAGATGTAAGGAACAGGAGGCAAGCTTAACAAAAAAGAACTATAGGAGAAAGACTTACTCACCAAGAGATTTTGCTTCATAGAAAGTTCTAGAAAATAGGACCACTGTTACTTCATGACTACAGTTCTTCTCCTAGGAATAAGTAGAGAAAAAGAGGCTCACGTTTACTTCATTCACTTCACAATGAAGGAGACTGCATTAACACAATATTCTTAATTTTAGGAGAGGCAGCACACTGTTTTGAATGATGTTACATAACTACAGGTTGCATAATGCAATGAACACAGCACTGCTGGAGTGAGAAGATCTGGACTGAGTCCTGGCTCTGAAATTTACCACTACGTGACCAGAAATGCAGAAAGTACTTAAAAACAGCAAATCACCAATAAGTATGGATCACTATCTCCCAGTTCTTGATTTGGCATGAACTAGATCAGCCCAGTGTCAAATGATCATGGTATTTTTACCTGCTTCATGGTGTTTTTAAAATTTCTTCAGAACAGCAGCTTAGGAAACAAGAAAACCCATGGTGGTGGATGTGAGAATCAAACACATCCCCACATCCTACCACTGTCATAAAGATGAGGCTTGGGAGCTATTTGAGATATAGGAGTCGAAGCCAAGACAATGAAGTACCTTTGGACTGGGATGGGGACTAGTGAGAATAAACATTTCCATGGAGTCTGGAGATCAAGGTTCTGGAAATAGGGTGCTTACAGACAGCATGAAATTTGGCTTGCACCAGTGAGCCAGCAAGCCCAGTTTCAGTTCCTCCCAGATCTTTCAAGACGAGAGCTCACAGTGACCCATCTCTAACCCACCATACTCACTGACTACACAATTCAGCATTCACTATATAGGTTATATATACAACATGATGTACATTACATGCCACCTTATATTCCCCCATGGATATATCTCAAGTGGACAGAAATTCCTAAATACAAGCCACAGCACCCAGAGCAGAGTGCTTAGGAAAGAGCAGATCTTCATTAGCCACCAACAAATTTATTGGATGCCCAGAGCTCCAAACTCAACTCCAGATTTACCTGATTTTGGTGTAAGTGATATACAGAAAAAAAAATGCCTTACAATGGGCTGGTGTGGCCATATGAGCCTCTCAACTCATGTGATGACGGGGATAAATATGAAAGGCAACATGGCCTGGGATTATAGTAATACAGACAGGACAGGACAGCACAGAGGTTATGATCTCAGGCTAGCTCTGGGTGAATGGAAGGCACCAGATTAGAATCCTCATTCTGCTTTTACATGCTGTTGATCATGGGCAAGTTACCCAGCCTCTTTGAGCTGTATTTTCCCTACCTGTATTACAGGGGCAAGAGTTTAGTGAGATAATGTGGACAAAACACTTATCAAGATACGTGGTATGTCAAAATAATCAATAAATATTAACTAGGACTACTACTATTACTCCCACCACCACTATATTTTGGGCTCTGAAATGAATTCATGAACTCCTATGCTCAATCCTGCTGTCCAAAGAGCTAACTTTAAGTTATTAAACAGGAGGAATAAAGAATAAACAACCTTCACCAAACATCATTAAATCAATACAGAGTGGTTACAGAAAGTTATTTTAATTCATTTTCAAGCTCCTGCTTTAAAACCAAGTTCTTGAGCGCCTGGGTGGCTCAGTTGGTTAAGCATCTGCCTTCAGCTCAGGTCATGATCCCAGGGTCCTGGGATCAAGCCCCACTTTGGACTCCCAGCTCAGCAGGGAGTCTGCTTCTCCCTCTACCTCTTCCCCTGCTCATGATTTTTTTTTCTCTCTCAAATGAATAGATAAAATC